CTTTATATCTTTATGTCTATATATCTATATCTATATATCTATATAACTGCATATCTATATACCTATATCCATTTGTGCCCTCTCCGCGCGTGTGTGTGTGTATATATATATACACACATACACGCTATAACGGGGCGGAACCTACAATGCCCCACCCTACGCCATGCTACGCTACCCTACTACGCTACCCTACAGCAACATGTACCATCATACCATCTGTATCCTATACCATACCATGCCGGGCCATGTCATGGCATGCCATACCATACCATGCCATAAGTCTACTCCATTCCATTGCGCTACACTACGCCACATTGTACTCCATGGCATTACCTGGCATTACATTAAACTACATTGCATCGCTTGTGCGTTCCGTTATGCTGCAATGCTACACTACACTGTCGTAGAGTATCTTGCCTAGCACTACAAAACTATGCTACATTACGCAACGCACAGACATACATACGCGGCATGGGGTGTTGACTTGCAAGTGGCCCCCAACCCTACTCCATGCAACAATCCACCGGCAACAATTTAAGACGGTCCCATACACTTCTGGCAAATCCGAAGCCCCGAATTTAAGCACGACAACCCGCGAGCTGTAAAACCATCGAGTCCTCAAAGTTGTGGGAACTAAATCCATATTCAAACGCCACTGAAAACCTTGCCAGCAAACAGTACACTCAACCTTAATCATCCCTGATCAACCCTGCAGCCTGCTTCCTCCACTTTAGGAACAGCTGATACGGGTGAAGAGCAAATCGTTCACCTGAACCTGAAAGTAGGGAACCCATCATGCGATTTCAGAAGCACCCATGACCTCAAATTTATAGCCTGCTGCAGATTAAACCATTTCAAAAACCCTTGTAACCCTGCATGCAGCATCTCATCACGTGAACCTTGAAGCGCCCCACCATCGGGGCCCCCACCCATAGTCTCTGCATGAGGACATGGAGGCGGCCGCCCAATGGTGCAAGCGTGTAGGGCTCAGGGCTTAATAAAGGCTTGACAACTTAGAAGGTGAGGGGTGTCGATAATCGTGCAAAACTTGTGGCTGAGGCCTATGGCATCGAATATCCTTCCTCCGATACATTCCGACACTTCATCCTGCTTCAGCCTTAAGCTTTTTTAACCTACACCTTCATAAACCTTCATCCTGGAATGAAGACCTCCGAGCCTGAAGGGTCGAGGTTTAGATCATCACCTTCACAACCAGGGGTCTTCGACAGGCCTCTTCTCGCTTCTTTCAGACTTGAGGGTTGAGGCTTTCGGGGTTCGGGTTTGGCCTTGGGTTTGGGGAAGGGGTAACAGGCTAGGCAGGTGCAGCTGCAAGCCTCTGCAGCAGGCAACAGTCCAAACTCAAGCACCGCTTCCGATGAGACAATGACCGGGCAAGATCCTATGAGTTGAATGTGGTTTCGGAGGAGGATGACATGGTAGGAATTGTAAGAACTGGGGGAAGCCGCATTACTGTGTCGGAATCATACATGCATTGCTGCGGAACCAGACCAACCTCACACCGCCTGAGCTCCACGCACTCAGAAACACACTTTGCAGATTTTGCATTTTCACTTGCGGGCTTGAATCGATCTGGATACAGTGGATACCAGCCAGGACAGGCTGCCCCCAAGTGTACCTGGACCCAATATGTCGGATACTTGGCCTAGGTCCACCTTGCTATGGGTTGCTCCAAAATCCTGCTTGAAACATGTGTTGTGAGATGTTGAGAGCCGTGAGACATGGGGCGGAGTGCTGTCAGAAGGACGTTCCAACATTCTTTTGCCTTTAAGGGTGACTGCAGCTGATCGAGAGAGAGCTTCACAGCTTCGCTTCTGATAAGATAGCAACGTGTAGACCACCGTAAGGAGCTCAGATCAGCCGCAGCACCCGACACCAACATATCTCGCATGTGTATCTGGCCAAACCCTTGCAACGTTGCACTGCGAAGTGTAATGTCTGAGAGCGTTTTTGGGAGAATGTGGTAGCTGCAGCATGCCATTCTGCAGCCACCACGGCTGCACTCGAGAACCTGTGAATTCTGGCCATGGTGAAGTTGTAGCTCCTCTTGTTTCATACCAGTAACCTACTCAGTAACCCTGACTACCATGCGCAGATTGTCCTACATGTTGCACCGCTGCCCCGGCATCCCAAGCTGTTCACAGCCTGTCGCTCAGCTGGGTGGAACTTTGGAAAGAGGGCGCGTCTCAACCATTTTTAGGGGTTTCAAACTTAAGTTCGGAAGCATGAAGAAGAAGGTGGTGGTAGATGAAGAAATACGTTGCATTTGTGGTCGGTCATGGTGATGATGATGCTTCCGCTGCTACTGCTACCGCTACTGCTACTGATACTGCTGAAACTAGTGCTACTGCTACTGCTACTGCCACTGCTACTGCTGCTCCTACTGCTACTGCTACTGCTACTGCTACTGCTCCTGCTCCTGCTACCGCTACTGGTACTGGTACTGCTATTGCTGCTGCTGCTACTGCGAAAACTACTGCTACTCCTGCTGCTGCTGCTGCTGCTGCTGCTGCTGCTGCTGCTACTGCTACTGCTACTGCTACTGCTACTGCTACTGCTCCTGCTCCTGCTCCGCTCCTGGTACTGGTACTGAGTGGTACTGGTACTGGTACTGGTACTGGTACTGGTACTTGTACTGGTACTGGTACTGGACTGGTACTGCTACCGCTACTGCTACTGCTACTGCTACTGCTACTGCTACTGCTGCTGCTGCTCCTGCTACTGCTACTGCTACTGCTACTGCCACTGCGAAAACTACTGCTACTGCCACTGCGAGAACTACTGCTACTGCTACTGCGAAAACTACTGCTCCTGCTACTGACTGCTACTGCTACTAGTAATGTTATGAGAGAAGAAGGAGTGTGGGAGAAGGAGTAGTGTTTGTCATTGCGGTGTTCGTCGTCGTCGTAGTGTGGAACTTATACAACTCTCTCCTTTCGCGGGGCCCATGAGGTTGAAACGCACCCTGCGGATGGCTCCCTCAGGGATACCAGTGCTTTCGCCAGCTGCCCATCCACCAGCCCTCGACAGGGGGCCCAGCCTTCCTGGGGCGCACCGAGAGCCATCTTGCAGGTTCGGTCTTTGCAAAAAGGGTTTAGGGGTTAGGGTTTAGGGTTATTGCAAGCTGGTCGTTACTGTCCAATGTCTCTTGTTGATGTCATGGGGCCATGGGGCGAAACAGCAGGGTGTGGGCCCATCTGCTTGCGACCAGCCGTACCCCATGCCTTAAAATAAGTCCTAGTCCCAAGTGCCTTTTCAGAAGCCCTCCTCTCTTCAGCGAAAGATTGCCAATGATTTATCATCCCACCCTCACTGAAGAGAGAACTCATCACATCTACAATTACAGTCAGTTACCTAATTGCCCGTATGCTCAAGCGTCCCCCGACCTAGAGACTGCCGATCAGTGGCCAGACTGCACGGCCATGCCTGTAAGCGCTCAAGTCCCTTCGCTCTTCAAAAGCCGGTATTCAACACAGAAACGGCACCACAACACCGGACACAAGACCCTATACTCGTAACTCTCCTTGAAAACTGCATTAAACTTTTTCTTCTTCACGATCATCGCTACCACCGCGTCCCCCAATACCACCACCGTCACCAGAAGCATCATGGCAAATAGAACAGTGGCGGCACTGGCAGTGGTGGTGCATTTGTCGGAGTAACCTTATACAGCAACTAGCAACAGCTGCACAAACATATCATCACCACGTACATCAGCAAAACAGACACCTTATCTAGAATCCAGACTGAGACCACTTGGAGGTTCATGGGACTTAATGAGTACAGTTAGAAGTACCTGAATTCGGGGTTATAAGTAATTATGAGTATGCTTACCTTATTTATAACCCTACCTAGAGTCTCCTTTGTAGTTCCTTTTTTTGGTTTAACCAGTATTATACTAAGGATCGTATAAGGTAACGCCAACAAGGAACTACAATGGAGACTATAGGTAGTTACTACTAGTAGGTCCCATGAGCCTTTAAGCAGGATGTACAAGTTGCACACTGTAAACGTTACAAAACTCCGGGAGGAGGCGCCCGCTGGGCTTCGGAGCCGCTTTCGGCGGGGGAGCTGCCTGGTTTAGAGTTGTGGTTGCTTCCCATTTTAGGGTTTAGGGTTTAGGGTTTACACCGTGGAAAGAGGGAAGAACTAGCTTTTCAATCAGCTTTGCGAATGAGGGCTCTGAGTGGAATTCGGCTGGATGGCAGCAGTGATTGTCAGAAGCAGGCCTGATTCTCGAAAAGAAGTTTCGAAGCTGCATGTTGAAAGGCTACCGGCTACCGATTTTTCTAATACTCCTGTCCACCTTCGGAGCTGCTGCAGGAGCCGCAGCCGGGGCGGCCGGGACGGCAGCCGGGGCAGCCGCCGGTGCTGCTGGGGCAGCGGCAGGGGAGGCGGGTGCCACCTCGGGGCCTTTGGCTGCTTTGGGAGGCGGCTCTCCTGGCAGGCACCGGATGTGAGTTACAAATATTGGATGACACAGCCATGCGAAAACAAGTGTAAATCCACGCACGATCAAACGCATTACTTGCCAGAAGCCGGTGCGATTTGTGCACCACTGAAGCTTTTTGATGGCACGGCCATGACGCGAGACCCTGCAGCTTAAACTTGCGAACACTACACAACTGCAAACTGTTGCGCATCCATTGCTCAAAGCTGTTCAAAGCAATGTAGCCCAGGGACGCAGCCACGAAGTGGCTTCTGATGCCCTAATTGAGCCTAAGCAAGGCCAGCGGGCAGCCTCCTGGCTTGAGGACAGCCAGCAGCTGATCTTTCTGAACCTGGTGGTTGGCAGGAGAAGCTTCGGCCTTTGATGCTTTCAGACCATCAGCTTCTGCCTGACTGGTGGAGGGCATGCATCAGAATCTTCAGAGGCCGAGACGTATGCATGGTTCATCCGAGGTCAACGCAGAAGTCAGAATTATGAATCTCCCCACGAATTCCGGTGATGACAAAACCCAACCCCTTCAGGATATCTCATGTTTCACGAAACCTAGAGGACCTGGAGCCTGCAACGCAAGCCTTCAGTATGTGTGCCGCCGAGAAGTAGACTGTAAACAACTCGGGCCCACACAGCATTGAGCCAAGCAGCTGTTTCATCAGCTTGAGCCACAATCTTCTCAAGGACGCCATTGTCGGGCGCCTTCACCTGCGACAGCTACAGGATCTAGTGGTTTCGCTTAACCAGATCTGCCTTCAACTCCGAGATCGGGGGGCTGCGAAAAAATTCCCTTCTCGCCCTTTACTTGCGAAAAATGAGCAACCATCTAAGTATTATGAAGTAAACGGGCCGTGGGAGCCAAACTCAAGCAGGAGGGCCTCGGTACTCACCTTGTCTGTCTCGATCACCGCCAGGATCTCACCTTTGGCGCAGAAGTCGCCCACCTTCTTCCTTGGATGTCATACATCCCTAAGGCCTCTACCATAAGCCCTTCACCCCCCAAGCCTAAACCCAAAACCCCAAAGCCCAAAAGCATCGAACCCATGCCATCCGGCAAGCCCCATTCACCCGAATGTGTTGCTGCATGGTTCGGAAATTGAAGCGTGGCCGGTAGTTTAAGTGAAAGATTAAGGGAGCCGAATGGTGTGTGCGTTAATTCCTAAAGCTCGTGCTCCATGCCCTACGCCTGAGCACTTAACCCCGCTCATAAGCTCGGATGACGATCCTGGTACCTGGGTGGATAAACAGCATTGGAACATGGGGGGTGCTGTACATTGTACACCTCAAGAGGGCAGATGCTAGAAATTCCCCTAGACCCCAAACCCTATGGAGCTATCCGAAACCCTAAACCCTAAACCCCAAACCCTAAACCCTAAACTCTAAAACCCTAAAACCCTAAAACCCTAAACCCTAAACCTTTAAACACCCAAACCCCATATGAGAAGGCTTGGATTGGAGCTGTTGAAGCGGCAAGGCGTTGGGGGCTGAGGATGTCATCAAAGTTCACGCTGTTAGTGCTCCGAAACGCTTAATTTGGAGGTTTAGGGCCTATAGGGTTTATAGGGTTTAGGGTTTATAGGGCTTAGGGCTTATAGGGGTTTAGGGTTTATAGGGCTTAGGCTTTATAAGGTTTAGGGTTTAACGGGTTTAGGGTTATGCGGTGAAGGTCGGGGATGGCTTCGTGCGTAAGGGCTGTGCTCTTCCATCGGGGAGGCGCGGTCAAGCTGCTGCCATTCCATGAGCGTACCCTCGGTGATGCTCTCGGCCCCGAAATCGGGAGTCTTGATCCTCAGACAGAACACGTACGATATTCTGTTTGTTTTCATGTGGTGGAGGGTTCAACATCTAGTCTTCGAGTCGGGCCGACTGTCCGGATTCCAGCGGATTGTTTCGTCCTTAATTTCCTCCCAGGATTTGGTTGGATGACTTGTGCGGGAAAGCTCAGATACAAAACCAGTTCTGCTGAGAATCTCGACGCTGCTGAACCGCCTTACCTGGCGCATGGGTCACGAGGTGAAAGTAGATTGCGTGTGCATACTCATGAAACCTATGTAAACATCACATAGATATGTGGATACACATGTGTGCAATGTAGATAGATAGACTGATAGATAGATAGATAGATAGATAGGTAAGTAGGTAGGTAGATGGATAGATAAGACTAGACAAGATCAGATAAGATAAGATAGATAGATAGATAGATGGACAGGTAGATAGATAGATAGATGGATAGATATGTAGATGGATAGATAGATGGATGGATGGAACAGAATGACCTGTGTAACGGAAGACCCTGTGTAACAAAAGACACTGTGCAACAGAAGACCCTATGTAACAGAAGATCATGTCTAACAAGAGGACCCCATGTGACAGAAAATCCACTCAAACATACTTTACCCACATAAACTAAAAATATTATGTGTATATATATATATGTATATATATATATGTATATATGCATATTTATGTATTTATATTTATACAAACACACACAAGATCGCACAGCCAATTGCAAACGACACGAGCACAACTTGGGACACCTACGATAACAGACTTTGAGAGGGAGGGAGAGAGACATGGTCATAGATCAGGTACAAGACTGTTGCAAACTAAAGAACCCGCACCATGCTCAGACTAAAGCTAGCAATAAAGATGTAGAGCTGCTCTTACTTAGACAGCACTGCAAACAGACGTGTACACTGTGAAAAAATAAAATTCACAGGAGGAGAAATGCTGCAAGAGCTGGAGTTCATGACAGGAATAAAACGACCACAGCGCTATGAATGATCATTGTAAGGGCCTTAATGGCTAGACAAGGTCATCTTTCTGTTGCAAAGGGGGGGTATATTACAAGACAATACTAATGAGGAACCGAATCTGACTAACGCTCAAACGTGAAGCCTGCCTGCAACGGGCACAGAGATTTTCTGTTGGCCGCTGGAAAGACAGGAGCATTGTAGCGCTGCACCGAGGCCATACTACCGTGAAGCCTCCCAGGAAGAGGCTTCTGTCGGAAGTTGCGAAGGAAGCTCTGGCATAGTTTACGGTTTAAGGCCCTTAATGTTGAATACCTATAGTCTCCATTGCAGTTCCTGTTTGGGCTTACCTCAAAGAATCCTTAGTATAATACTGGTTAAACCAAAAAACGGAACTACAAAGGAGACGCTACGTAGAATCGGGCTTTGGGGGTAGATTGAAGTACGCTCAGAAGCCTGGAGGAGCGTAAGACCAAGCGCAGGGGTCTCGCAGCCAGGCGCTGCAGCATTGTTGCCTAGGGAGACATGAATCAGGATTAAGGGCTTCAGGTTCTAGTTGCACGGAGTGCCTATGGCAAACTCCTCTACACTTAAGGCAAGTTAGAAACCGGTTTCGAACCGGCTTCAGATACACTTCCAATAAACGGCGGACCACTGTCCTTTCTGTTCCTCGGCCGGTGCATGGCAAAGCAGTCTGGGCGCAGTCTGTACTGGCCAACCCGACCATCCAGGGTGGAATGAGAGAACAGAGCGTGGAAACCGGACTTGAAGTTGCAAAGGATTCACTTCACAACAGTCCAGGGAACGAGTATCAAGGATTCGGGCTTCAAGTTTGCACGGTTGCAGGCTGAAGGACTTGGTGCTTTTGCTGTGGGATCGGAGGATTCGAGAGATCTACAGCCTGCTGGTGATTTGGCTGTCAGTGGTGAGGATGCTAGAGGCTTTAGTAACTTTAGTAGTTCTTCTTCTTGTAGTGCTGGTGCCAGTCGTCGACGTCCCGGCGAAGCTTCGGGTCTTGTGCTCTAAGGGCTCAGAGGAGGCCTTTGAGGTCTGAGATGCCAAGCTACGAGGCTCGAAGTCGGGCTCAAGCTGAGGCTGCCGAGTGCCCCTCTCCTTGGGGGGCCCTTCTACACCTCTCTTGACCTCCAAGCTGAAAGGGCTGCGAAGCTGCCAGACATGGTTGAGTGATTCATTCCCAAGGTGAGGCAGTTGGCAGTTCTAGGGCAGGTCTGCTCTTCGCACAGACTTGTTGTCCTGGCTTCATGGGCACACTCGCTTACCTCACTTCCTCTCAGATGACATCGGCTTAGGCAAGTCTCAGCTCCACCTGGGTTGCTGCTAAGAAACTTAAATTAAATCAACTTACTAGAATAAGGAAACCATGCTATTTATACTATATCTCCCCCATGGTTATGGCAACTTGAATTAAGTTCCTGAACGACAACCCAGCCACATCCCTGGTCGCAGTGCCCGTGGCCGGGGCCTGGGTCCTTTTGCGCCTGCATCCGATGTATCCAAGACAGGCCAAGAGCCCGAGGCACAGCACCGGCACCACGACCTTGAGCTCGAGGACCCACCATGGCCACACCCCTGTCTTTTTCTTCGGGGTCTGGGGGTGCTGCAGCACGCAGTTTCGGATGTCCTCTAGGACGCTCGCGGCGAACTCCATGAAATCTGAGTCGGCAAAAGCCGGGGAAGTGGCGATGATCTTCACGGACTCTGTCGTATCGGAGGGCGCAAGACCCCAGTCCCGCTTCAAGAGCACCCGTGCCGTGACCTCGTCACCTTGCACCGTGTTCTTCAACACTTTGTAGGCATCCATGAAACTGACCGCTTTCCAATCCTTATGCTGGTGGCCGGGTGCAGGACCCGTCCTATCGAACCAGTCTGTGCTGACATAGGCCAGGTCGTTGGCCACGTCCGGCGACAGCACCACTTGCAAGAGGACCCTCGAGAAGCCTTCGGTGCTCAAATCGCTTCGACATGAGATCTTGCTGCTGGCTTCCTTCTTACTCACATCTTGACCCGCACAAGACCCATGCTTAGAAGCGCTTCAAGTCCTTCCAACTGCGGGCGCATAATCCTACACTCTTCGAATTGAAGTGCAAACTGGCAGAAAGTCTGCGTTGCCTTCAACCAGGGCCGAACTTACGTCTCACACCTTTGGAGATGGCCGGGTCAATGTGTGTTTGCCTTGGCTAAGCCTTGTTGGGAGAGATGGGTGTGGTGTTACTGGGCTTAATTAAACCCTAAACCCCCTAAACCCCCAACCCTAAACCCTGAACCCTGCCGAATCCCGAGGCTTGCTGCCGAAGAAGCCCCGCGTCTCTTTGTCGGTTGGTAGGCCACCAGTTTCCAGGGCAATGGTCGCGTCCTATTGCAGCTTACGGCATGTACAGTAAGGGTTCATGAGGGTGAAGTGGGGTTTAGGGCTTTGGTTTCAGGCTCTGATTTCGGGTTGTGAAGGGTTCTTGTGCGTTTACAGCTGTGGCGTTTAAGCCAGTTTTAACGGCTCTCGGGAGATCTTATAGCATTGCGGGCTGTGAGATTTCACTGATTGGGAAGCTCCATACAACTACGTTATAACATTTTCCTGCCCAACCGCATTCTGACGATTAGGACTAGGACCAGTAGATTATCAGGATTTTGCAGACTTCCAAAGCTTCCGTGCCGCGTTTAGATCAGCTTTCGACAGGTCGTCTTTTTTACAGAGTGCATATGCCAGGTTTACTTCGTCATTGTGCTGCCTCTGACAGTCTAAGGCCCTACACCCTAAAGCCTAAATCCCAAACCCCGAACCCTAAACCCTAAAACCCTAAACCCTAAACCCTGAACCCAAAACCCAAAGCCCTAACCCCCTAAACCCGTAAACCTCTAAACACCTAAACCCTGTACTTCGTTGTAACCACCCTCCCCCCCTTTGTAAAACCCTACTCTACTGCCACTGAACAGCC